TCTACTATTTCCAGCCGCGCCCTCAAGCCTGGTAGAGGCTTAGTACGTCTACCCTTTGAACTTAAAAGCAACTTTACTCCCAGTCGTGACTGCGCGGTGAACAAGCAATCAAATTATCAATGATTAAACAGCCGAATGTTAGTCATGACATTTCGGTATTGTTGTATGTCTCAGCTATAGTTTGAAAGGTCGAGGCAGTCTGCAGAGTCAAAGTCGAACTCTGATACGAACTGGGGGGTGTGGCATGTGACTCAGCTATTTTTGCACTCTTGGACTTGTAGGTTTCTTAGTATTGGAGAGACTTTTTTTTTCATTGTTCAACTATGCAAATTTTGACTTTCAAATTACGAACATGTCGGTTGTTCTGCTAAGCATGTTCCCAGACGGTCTGTATGATTACAAAGAAAGAATAGAGAGAAGAAATTGGCCAAACACACTGTCAGATAACTTGTCAGTGGAGTGTCCACCGAAGGAGTGCATTTGCCGGACTAACTCCCCTGGCATGTTATCTGTCTATTTGGTCCATTTCTACTCTTTCCAGTCGCTTCTGAAGCCTGGTAGAGGCTAGCTATGCATTTCTTTGACAGACGCCAGAGTTACTGTACATTTACAAGCCAACTATAACATGTTAAGACCAATAAAATGTAAAATACCCAGAAGTTCGTAGAACTTTTTCATCCCCTCCTTGTCGATCTTGGAAGGCTTGAAGGTACCGCTGAAACTCATGGTTTTCTTCGGGGCGAGGTCGACAGGTGGACCGGGGAACTGGCGAAGGTGTGTCGGTGAGACCGTGGAGTAAGAAGTGGACTCGGTCAAAACTTGAACCGACTTATATATGCCAAAGGGACCATTGCAAATTACGGATGTCCATTCTTCAAGAACCACATATTGCTCATTTTTTTTTAAAATCAAATTTCACAATCCCATATTTTGTCTCATTCGTCTAAATACAAACGTAAAGGAACAAACATGAGGAAATAATCTCAGACTTCTATTTTTCTTAGAATGGAATGTATTAACCTGTTCTGGCGTTCAAATATCGTTTGAGAAGCCATAGAACTTGTAGCATGGTGTACCAGACAGCTAAGTCAATACGACATTAACTTACAATTGGTTGTTAATTTGGTTCACTACCAACAACTTGAAAGGAAGGGGCGTAATTTATTATAATTATTGTTCATTACAGAATAGGATCCTCGATTTTTTCTTTAAGATACCATTATCAAAACAGAAAACAGCATCACTAATACTGTTTGTTGTCTATATATGATATAGATGGTTGAAAAGGCTTATTCATAAAGAATTAGTTTACTTGGCCACGTCAAAAAGTTCAATGGCTTTGGGGTCACGTCACCAACATGGCGGCCGTCGCCATCGAACGTTGTTCCATCGAACGTTAAAGGGCAGGGTTCTTGTTCTATTGTTCCAACATGTCTCGTTTCTATTCCATTTGTTTGAGTTGTTACTGAGTCATTTCATATAAGTTATATAGTATGTTGGTGTTAGCTGAAAAGAGAGAACGACCTCTACCAATCACTGTCGGTACTGCCAAAGGTCACTGACTGAGCTGCAATAAACACTTTAAGCGCTAGAGGACCCCATTGCCACGTTAGCTCTTTCGCACCTTTGATGTGGGAAATCAGAACACAGGCACGCTGAGATCTTTGCAAAAATGCAATTTATTGCATAGAAAACCACATTGCAACCAAAAGGATATCAACGCCCAATCGTAGTACCGTACGTGTGTACGGTCTTCTTAATGGTATCAGCAGTAGCAAAAGCCTGAACGACAAAGGTAGACAGCTTTTGATTGGCTTATGCATGCTGCGCTACCGTACATATGTTTTGTCGCTGTGGGCCTTCGTAGAAAGGCGCTTTACTTCGTTTACATTTACAATGAGCGTTCGAAAAGCAGCTGTGCTCGGTGGCTTCGTAGAAATCAGGCATCCGTTGAAGAAGTGAGTTGCAGTTCCAACAGTTGTCATCACTCCCTAGGCCTTCTTGTACACATGGGAGACCGTGAAGTCACCTGTTGTCATGGTCTGTACATGTGCGGATAGAAAGCTGAATGTTAACAAAACAATCTGTTAAGTTTTACTAAAATGTTGCACAGAGCCAACCATTCGTATGGACCTTGATTTCCTCTTGTTTACAATATGATGATTTATGCTAACTAGTTTAAGGTCAATTATATAAGGCATTCCTTGGCTATTACTTCGATGTTTATTAATGATACTTCACAGAAATTTCTATAATAATGACTATCTCAGGATCCTACTATATGGTATATAGGATCCACTATGAATGTAACGAATTCGAATGTACATGTAGTATAGTATAGTATAGTATAGTATAGTATAGTATAGTATAGTATAGTATAGTATAGTATATGTATACGGTACTTCATACTGGTACTCAGTGCATTTACGACTTACGACTTGTACTTACGACAGTCATCTCGTCCCCGTTGAGTTCCCGAACGGTGCTGCTGGTTTTGCCGTTGGCGTAAGTCTCCGTGGAACGCATCTTGTTTCCATCCCGGACCACTTTCACCTGGAAACAGCATATTTATAGTAAGAACATCTACATATCTCATAGTAAACGAGCTATCCTGGTCGCACACAAACCAATAAACACAACTTGTGATAGGTAGCGTAGGGATCCCCTATAAGGCCCATTTTCGAACTTGACAATCGTCTTCCCTACAGTAACTTGCCTACCAAAAATCATGAAGGTAACGAACATAGGTAACGAAGGTAAGGCACTCCAAAGGTACTGCTGCAAAACGGCGTTGCCCCTGAGGCGTCACCAAAAACGTAGCCGTTGTAACATTATGACGTCTGCTCACCTTGACCTTTCCCAGGCGACCAGTGTCCTCCACCTCCTCACCCAGCTTTATGGTCTTCACCTTGTCTCCGTCTGGAAGACCATGTATCTAGAGAATGACAGTGAAGACCATTATTATTATGTTTACCGAAGGAAAACATATTGTTTTTGCTCAGTTTCTTCCTCTTCTTCACTAAACAGTAACCTCTGACCTGACCAATGACATGATTTGTTGACGTCTGTCACCATGGTGACTGATGTTGGGTTACATAATGTTGCAATTTCATGGTCTGCTCTGCTCCTGTCACCATATACTAGTACTACATGAATGTGAATGTGTTTGAGTAAGAATTAACAGAGCTGACCATGTCCGAAGGTAAACATTTTGCTTTTGCTCTAGATCTGTTTCTCAATGAGACCTGGCAGCGAAAATAGGTTTGGCAACCATAACTTTAACTTACAGTGGTGGTCAAGGAGTCTCCGTTGTCCTCGGTGCTGTAGTAGATTTTGTCCAGAAAACCACCAACACCTTCCAGAATAGCCGGAGGTGCGTCTGTGGGGTACAAATAGATTGTAGGCTATCATCTATGTAGCCTCTATCAGGCTTCAGAGGCAGCTGGAAAGAGTGGAAAGTCAAACAGACAGATGATATGCCAGGGCCAGTGGAATATTAGTCCGCTAAAGGAGTGCAGTTGGCTTCTTCGGAATATCTAGCGAGGCCATGTCACGTCTATTTGGCAAATTCCTCCTCTTTCCAGCAGCTTAAACAGATAGTAGGGGTGCTATCCCATTAATTCACCATATAGAGAAATTTCAAATCTCTTTCTGGTAAATTAATGGGATATTAGACTGAGACCATATAGACTGTTCAGAGTGTTGTAATTAATTTTTACCTATGGCTATCCCATGTAATAGAAGTTAGCACGTTTTTAACTTCGGTGCTAATAAATAGGATAAATAATTAAAGCTGCTTAAACAAACAACATATACTTCACTTCGTCCATACACTAGTATGTATACCCTTTGAACTAAAGCAACTTTACACCCAGCCTAGACGTCGACCGTGCGGTGAACCGGCAATCAAGCAATCAATGATTAAACAGCCGATTGTACGTTATGGCATCTCTATTGTTGAACGTCTCAGCTAAGGTCAGGCTACAGGCTCAAGTCAAACTCTGATGCGAACTGAGGTGGGGCGTGTGGACACGTCATAGACATTTTGGTACAGTAACTCTTGGACCTTGTAGACTTCCTTAGTCTTCTATAGAAACATTTTTTGCATTAACTATACAATTGAGAATGTCAAATTACGAATCTATATGTGCAAACCCTGGTATGAACGAAGTCAAATGCGTCCCTGTCTTGATCGTAGGGGTGCAAATCTTTTCAGCTGGCCTTTTTGGCTATGGAAAAAATACTTTAAGCCAATACCTCAAAAGAATCCCCAGCGTACTCAGGCTATGAATTAGCCTCTACCAGGCTTCAGAACTAGAAGCGGCCAGAAAGAGTAGAAATTGGCCAAATAAACAGAGAACATGCCAGGGGAGTTGGTCCGCCGAAGGAGTACATTTGCCGGACCAACTCCCCTAGCATGTTATCTGTCTATTCTGAGCCGCTTCTGAAGCCTGGTAGAGGCTAGCTATGCACTTCCATGGCTGAAATCTGAGTGAATTACTATGAATGTATAGGCCAACTACAACATGTTGAGACCAATAAAATGTAACAAAAATGTCATAAAACTGCAACCAGGATAGATGTTTTACCCAGTAGTTCGTAGAACTTTTTCATCCCCTCCTTGTCGACCTTGTGAGGCTTGAAAGTACCGCTGAAACTCATGGTTTTCTTCGGGGGTATGTCGACTGGTGGACCGAGCGAGCTGGTGATGGTGTGTCGGTGAGACGGGAGTTAGAAGTGGACTCGGTCAAAAGTTGAACCTCTTTATATGTGAAAGGGTGGCGGTTTCAAACCATGGATGTTTATCCTAAAGAAACCTTCGCTACTTTTTTTTTCAAATCAAATTTCCATATTTTATAGTAACGGTTAAAGGAACAAGCATTAAAAATAATCTCAGTTCTTCTATCTTTCCTTGAATGGAATGCATTACTACTAATATAGTGTTCTGGCGTTAAAATATCGTTTGGGAAATCATAGAACTAGATGCACGGTGTACCAGACAGCTAAGTCAATATAACATTAACTAACAATTGGTTGTATTGGTTCACTACCAACAACATGTAAGAAGGGGGGCGTAGACTATTCTTATTTTCATTAGAGAATTAATATAGGTTTCCCTTTTTTTTCTTTTCAAGATGAATATAATTTAGAAAACATAACTAAATCTTAGAAAACGCCATCGCTAGTTCTGTTGCAGGTCTATTTCTATTTTTACACAACATTGGCAACACATGGTCACGTCCAATGACTTTGAGGTCACCTAACCAACATGGCGGCCGTTGCCATGGAGACGCCATATTCTATCGAACGTTAACAAGGCAGGATCCTTGTGCTGTTGTTCCAACGTGTATCATGCTTTCCCGGAACAGGAAATGTAAGAATTTCGTGGAATTCTTATCTTTTTCGTCGACCTCTCGGCCGTTGACATACAGAATGAGTGCTTTTGACAAACAATGACATCATGGTCTTAAGTCCAAGCAAAACTTCATACTTTTGACATTGCCTTATATGGGCATCTTATTGCAGTTAAGTTTGGGCATAAAGTTGACGTACGATGGACTTTCAACATGTACATGCCACTTTAAAAAACACGGATTAAAGAAAAAAGACAGCTTTGTACTGAAAGAAATTTACAGGTTTATTAACTTTTGTATGACCCTAATCTACGTTAATTTTGTTGCATGTAATGCATGAGATGTTTTTTTATAAACAAAAGTATGTTGCAGATGCCATATGGCCAGTTGCCCCGGCCACCGGTTGCCATAGTGACAGGTTGCCATGGTGACAGGTTGCCATGGTTACTCCTTGGCGAAGATCCTGGTGCACTTGGTCCCGTCCGGTGCGGTCATCACCTTTGTGAAAATAAGCGTAGCATTGCTAAATATGTCATGACATTGTCACGATAGTTTCTGTCGTATGAAATTCTCTCGTTATGGACTAAATAGACACTTTTAAGGTTGGACTACCCGGCCAATGTGTGTTTTTCATTGTCTAAAGCTATTCATTTTTTTCTGACATAATTCCCATGTATTAGGGCAACGAGCCCTGTAACATTCCTTTTCTTGAAGGGGGGGGGGTTACCAGGTACATCCGTCCGTCTGCCCGGACCTCTCGCTCCTGTGTCTGTTTCCCTTTCGGCGAGTCAAACTCGAAACGCAGCTTCGCACCGTCCCAAGTCGGGCTAATCTAGTGGGATATTAGGACATATTGTGAAAGACTAAAACCAAACAAAACTAGAAAGGTAACATTTGCAAAGCAAATGCATTATGTTTACCTTCGCATATGGTCTGCTCTGTTAATTCATACGGCAAACACGTTCACTCACATATATGGTGACAGGAGTTCAAATCCCTCCTACTATAAAATTGCAACATGATGTAACCCAACACCAGTTACCATGGTGAGAGACGGTCTGGTTCAGGTCATTGACCAGGTCAGAGTATACCAATCCAGACGTGTTTATGTATAAGGAGCTTCCAAGTTTAACTTTGAAAATTGAAGACTAAAAAAAAAAATTATGACACTGACCTTGACTTTGCCCTGTTGTATCTCGCCTTCGAACTCCTCCCCGACCTTGAACCTGACCTCCGTGGTCCTGGAGGCGATGGTCTTGATGGAGAAAGAGTCGCCATCTTGCTGGATGGTTTCCCGCGGGGTGGCGGATGCTGCGGCCTGGCGAGCGGAGGGGGGCAACCCTGGTTTTTGATGGATAGATGAATAAAAGAAGTTTATTGTACACTAATATGCTCTTACGCCGGTGATAAACCTCCATGTACAATAACTGTGATACAAGTCTGGTATCTTATTGTGTACTAGTGTACATCTATTGTGTACTAGTGTACATCTATTGTGTACTAGTAACTAGTATGTTGAGGTTCAATGTCTTCTGTTTTGCGTAATGCCCTGTGAATTCGGAATGGCTGTTCAACGTTACCTTAATACATTACGTCACCCTTGTATACCTGCTAACTGTTAACAGAAAGTCATTTCCTCATGTGGGCTGTGCCATTTTGGGGGGTGCGCCGTTTTTGTCTAGCATATATAACAGAATATATAGGACGTTTTTTACCACTGCAAAACGACTGCAAAACGACTGCAAGTATTTCAGTAGTGACAACCGATATTTTCAAGTTCATGTCATGCCGAAAATGTCAAGGAATGACCATCTTACCCAGGGCCTCCAGAAAGGCGTCGAAATTCTCCGACTCTACCATTTTCCAATTTCCGCTTAGGTTTCCAGTCATCTTGTTTTCTTCTTCCCTAAAACGAAAGTTATGTTGATATATTATGTTCATGAGGATTGCGATAAAGGGTCGACTTTGAATTTTTAGGCCACCCACTGATATAGACTACATCGATTGACTGATATGTGATCAGATATACACTAGATAAGTACAAATCCTAGCAGAAAAAGACATAGCTCCGGAAAGAAAACCAAGACGTCTTGTTCTTACCTTGACTTTGGTACTGTGGACTACGCTATTCAGAATGGCAGGGAATATATATAGTGGTTGTATATGGTGTAACAAACAGCTTAAGTCAATATGACTTTGACTTGCCATTGGCGGTGTTGGTTATACCAACATTGTAAAAGGAGGGGGGCTAATTTTTTTCTACTTCTTAGAGAAAAAGTTTCGTCTGTTTTGTATTCTAAGGTACTTTTAAGATAAAATATGCAAATTTCATAAAACAACATGGCTAAAAAATAGGACTACATTTTACACCACAGCAGCAACACTCTAGGATAGTTTATTAGATGGTCACGTCCCAAAACTTGAGTGCCGTTGAGTGAGGGCGATTTGCCAAACGGGTCCTTGCTAGCCTATTGTGCAGACTTTCTAATGGTATACGTTTGTTTCTATGACCGCGCCGCTTGGAAAGTCTACATGGTGTCGGCCAAGAAGGCGCGCCCAATACAGCTTTCCTAGCCTCCACCAGACTTTTCTACGGGAATACGGATCGTAGAATTCCGCAAAAAGAGTAAAATTAGCCAGGGGAGTCCGGCCGTGGGGAGGTAGTTTCCTTCCCTCCTGCGCCAGTCAAACCCCAAGGCGGCCAAACTCCCCTGACAAGTATTCTCCTATATAGCCAACGTAGTTAGTCTGGAAGAGATTACAGCCCTCCCCACGATACAACATTCCCAGTGAAAAAAAAAATGCTGCGCTAATGGAAACGAACGCAGGCTGCTACCCGAGAAAAGTCTGCGTACGAGGCTAGGGGAAGTGTTTTCCACTATGTCTCGTTTTCTCGGAACACTCTCTTAAGGACTTCCTGGAATTCAGATTTTCATCGACCTCTCGGACATTGACCAATGACCTCTAGGATATTGACCCTTTCACAAACGATGATGTCATGGTTTCAAGTCCATAATTTTTACAAAATGTACATTAAACATAACAAATAACAATTAAGAGAGTAGAAGTGTATTAAATTGTTCAAAGTGATTTTTTTATTCTATTTTTCCCATCATGCACTTCATCATGCCTCACTTTCACACCGCCAACCACCAATGCTGTCTCCTACTTTTCTAGTTGCCATAGTTACCACTGTTTGTCTAAAGTACTAGTATGTATCTATTTGTCTTGGCTATGACATTTGTTACATCGTGGTTACTACTGCATTTCAAAATTGCTATTTGCTATGTTAACAACAGCATGTTGCAAAATGATGCCAGCTGCCATTTTTGCAATATCGATGCTTCTGCTTGACAAGTTGCCATGGTAACACGTTGCCATGGTTACTCTTTGGCGAAGATCCTGGTGCATGTCGTCCCATCCATTGCTTTCATCACCTAGGAAAAGATAAACAAGATACATAAATATATATCAACTCTGTCCTGCTAGCTACATAATGTAACCCAACACCACTGGGTGTCTGCTACAGCACCAGTTACCATGGAGACAGACGTCTGGTCCAGGTCATCGACTTTCTTTGTTTGGAGAGAAAAAGAAGACGAAGAAGTGGAAGAAGAAACTGAGCCAAAGCAATATGTTCTCCTTCTGCGAAGGCATAATCATAATACAGCGACAATCAGTCAGTGGTTTGGGGGATCGGCCGTCAAATTCCAAGTAATACAAACTAGTTGTCACGGGCAGTCAGCTTGCTATTTCTCATGGAATGTACCTCTTCGAGAGGGGTTACACACTGGAAACTTACCATGTACATTCGCCCGTCATCTCGGATCTCTCGTTCGGTCACCAGTTTGCCCTTGGGCGAGTCAACGTCGAAATGCAGCTTGTCTCCATCCCAAGTCGGAGTCACCTGTTGGGACATATAGTAAAAAGTTGTTTATTTTTGGGACCAAAACGTCAGTTATACACATAACGTTATTCAGGGGAGGAAGTTTGGGTTTCCGTCAAATAATGTAACCTAACACCACAGGGTGTCTGTTGCAGCACCAGTTACCATGGTGACAGATGTCTGGTCTATGTCATTGACCTGATATATTGCTTGGAGAAGAAGAAGACAAATAATAAGAAATAGAACGAAGGTGAACATAACGAAATGGTAATGACCTTGACTTTGCCCAACGGCATTTCGTCTTCGAAGTTCTCCCCGACCTTAAAGCTGACCTCCCTGGTCTTGGGGCCGACGGTCTTGATCTTGAAGTTGTCACCATCTTGTTGGATTTCTATCCGAGGGCTGGTGTTTACTGCGATCTTACGCATCGCAAAGCCTACGCCTGTATTTGACACAATACTTTCAGTGATGCTTTGGAATATGAATGATAGAACGAAGAAATGATCTAGAGTCAGCAAGAAGCTTAGCGCTAGCTGGCTCTGAGTCAGCAGGCTAGGAAGATTAGCTGGCTTAGAGTCAGCAGGAAGATTAGCTGGCTCAGAGTCAGTAGGAGGATTAGCTCCCTCGGAGTCAGCAGGAAGATACGATTAGCTGGCTCAGAGTCAGCAGGAAGATTAGCTGGCTCGGAGTCAGGGGGAAGATTAGCTGGCTCAGAGTCAGCAGGAAGATTAGCTGGCTCAGAGTCAGCGGGAAGATTAGCTGGCTCGGAGACAGATTAGCTGGCTCGGAGTCAGCAAGAAGCTGGCTCGGAGTCAGCAGGAAGATTTTCTGGCTCAGAGTCAGCAGGAAGCTTAGCTGGCTCGGAGTCAGCAGGAAGATTAGATGGCTCAGAGTCAGCGGGACGATTAGCTGGCTCAGAGTCAGCAGGAAGCTTAGCTGGCTCGGAGTCAGCAGGAAGATTAGATGGCTCAGAGTCAGCAGGAAGATTAGCTGGCTCGGAGTCAGCAGGAAGATTAGCTGGCTCAGAGTCAGCAGGAAAATTAGCTGGCTCAGAGTCTGCGAGAAGATTAGCTGGCTCGGAGTCAGCAAGAAGATTAGCTGGCTCAGAGTCAGCAGGAATTGAATCCAGAAACAAATGAACGGATACGTGCATGAGGACCTCTTTTTCAATAGATGAAAAAATGAATGAATGAAAATGAATGGATGAAAAAAGCAGTGAGGTATGGTCAGACAGAAGGGAGTTCAGATTGGTGCCCAAACCAGTTTCTGACAGCCCTCTTTCAGAACACGTGTTCTGATTGGTGCCCAGTATAAGGTACGAGGTCTGATTGGTTCCCAATTTCTGATAGCCCTCCCCAGAACACGATTTCTGATTGGTTCCCAGTGTCTGACAGCGCCAGATGATTGGTGCCCTCATGAAACGGGTACCAATCGGAAGAACGCTTGCAAAAAGTATCTTTGAGTGCTCACCAAGGGCCTTCAGATAGTCCTCGAAGTTCTCCGACTCGACGTGCTTCCAGTTTCCGGTGAAGGCCATCTTGGTTGCTAGCCTGAAACGGAAGTGACGACATGTTTAGGCATTTCGGGGTATAACATAACTACAAAGACCATTTTTGTAGTTCATACCGTCAGAAATAAGAAACATTTTGCCACTGTGGCGAAAATCGACACAACGCTGCAATTACGACTACGAGTACTTTGCGTGCGATTTAAGCACTGTGTCCTAAAAAAGAATGTGCCTCTCAAGGTCGATCGTACGTTTGCTGTGTCCTAAAAAAGAATGTGCCTCTCAAGGTCGATCGTACGTTTGCGTTTTTCTATCAATTCTTCACATTGGCTTTATGAATTTACATTGAAAAACAACATACCGACTTAAAGCTGTTGATCCCAGAAACTGTAGACTAGCGTTGGTGAGCCGAGAAACACCAAAACGTAAGCTGTCGTCTTGTCGACTTTGGGTCAGACTGAATCACAAGGGACAAGTCAAGAACTGGTTCAACGGGTCAATTATTTGTCTTTAAGTAGATGTCAAAATGGGTAATGGCCCCACTGAATAGCCCTGAAGCAACCAAGGCTCACACAAAGCCAGCCCAGGGGTGCCAGAGTATACAGTGTAATTTTACTAATATACAGTGCAATTGTACAAGTATTTTACTAGTAAAATTGCACTGTATACTAATACGATTGCACTGTATGAATTGCACTGTATACTGATACGACACTGGTGTCAAAATGGGTAATGGCCCTGAAGCAACAACTGAGCTTCACACACAGCTAGCCATTTTGGAACATTTTATTTTAACTTCTTTTCTGGCTGTTTAAAGCCAGTGTCGACCGGTTTGCGTTGTGTGACATAGATTAATTGATAAGTACATTATTGGTCTGTTTGTGTATATTTGTGTTTTTATCCTGTCCTTGACGTGTTTTTTGAACGCTGATGGTGCGGATGATTTCTGTATCTGTATCTGTATCTGTATAGCCGGTATAACCGCCTTTCGGCGTAACACACCAGCTTCGCAGGCACGCGGCGCGGCGGCAGCTGGCTATATTACACCGATCGACTTGTTACACCTAACCCTTGAACTTCTAGCTCTAGACATTGTTTAAAGCTATCTATTGACAGTGCCACTACTGTACTTGGTGACAGTGAGTTCCACTCTGCGATAGTTCTAGGAAAGAATGAATTCTTGAACACCTCAATCCTTGGTTTTGATGTGTTGTGGGAAAGTGTTGTAGGATTTTGTTCACCTATTGGGCAAAATATTAGTAGGTAACCAGAAAGAATGACACCAGGATAGATGTTAAATGAAGTTCTGAAGGCTGAACTTTCATATTTCCATCAAGCATCACAAGAAAACAATAAAGACAGAAGTGTACTGAATTGAAGTGAATTTTATTTCCCATCAGGTTCTACAGAAATCGTGCTTTATCTGCTATAGAAAACCAGCCGTAGAAAACGTGACGTAGAAAATCAAACTTTCACACCACCAACTACCAATCAAATGCCGTCTCGTACGTTTCTAGTTGCCATGGTTACTACTGTTTGTCTAGTTACCTTGGTAACGACCTGCTAGGTTACTGGCTACTATGTCCTTTGGTTACTCTATGTCAATCAAGTTAACACCGCCAATCAACTGTCTCCTACGTTTCTAGTTGCCATGGTTACTACTGTTTGTTTATGTAGCTAGTTGCCTTGGTGATAACCATGGTTACTTGGTGCTATCGTGGTTACTACTGCATGTTAAAATCGCTACTCGCTATGTCTACTACACTGAGTTACAAAATGTTGCCAGTCGCCATATTTGCTACATGGCGATGCCTCTATGTGACGAGTTTACACTCGTTGCCTTGGTGACGCGTTGCCACGGTAACACGTTGCCGTGGTTACTCCTTGGCGAAGATCCTGGTGCACGTGGTCCCATCAGCTGCCTTCATCACCTAAAAGCAGATGAAAGACAAGAAAGACAGTTTTTAAATTGATGTGATTTTATGCACTACTGTTTATAGATACTAGTGAATAGATACATTGGCTAGTAACATTTACAGGCATGCAGTCACTCTCTTATTGTTCGAATCTCTAATAGTATTGATATGCTATTATTGGTTGGACTGCTAATAGTGATGAACAGCGAGGATCAGACAAGGACATTGGATCAGTTTTTGTTGGCTTAGATGTTCAAAGGTAGCTAGCTGCCGCCGCGCCGCGTGCCTGCAAAGCTGGTGTACGTGTGACGCCGAAGGGCGGTTATACCTGCTATACAGATACAGATACAGAAGCTAGTGTGTTACGCCGAAAGGTGGCTATACCTGCTATACAGATACAGATACAGAAGCTGGTGTGTTACTGCGAAAGGTGGCTACATCGGTTATACGATGTACCGCTATATGAGCAGAGGGGTGTTACACACAGAACAGAGAGACTGAGATCTTACCATGTACAGCTGACCGTCAGCCCGAATCTCTCGTTCGGTCACCAGTTTGCCCTTGGGAGAGTCGATGTCGAAACGCAGTTTTCCTCCGTCCCAACTCGGGGTCACCTTTTATATATTATATAGTACAATAGAACATTAAACATAAGATATAAATGCAACTAGAAAGGTAACATTTACAAAGCAAATTCATAATTGTTTACCTTTGCATATGGTCTGCTCTGTTAATTCTTACTCAAACACGTTCATCATATATGGTGACAGGAGTCTAAATCCCTCGTACTATAGAATTGCAACATGATGTAACCCAACACCAGTTACCATGGTGACAGACGTCTGGTACTGGTCATTGTCACATTGAGCTTTAGTTGGAGAAGAAGAGGAAGAAACTGAGCAAAAACAATATATTTTCATTCGGTAAACATAAAAAATGAATACTGACCTGGACTTTTCCCATCGGCAACTCGTCTTCGAAGTTCTGTCCGATCTTGAAGCTGATCTCCTTGGTTTGGGGGCCGATGGTCTTGATCCTGAAGCTGTCGCCATCTTGTTGGATCTCTGCCCGGGGGCTGGAGCTGGCTACGATCTTTCGCTTCGCGATGTTTACGCCTGTAGGTGACGCAAAATATGTACTTTTAAAATGAGTAATCGAAAGGAAGGAAGGAAGGAGGGTAGGAAGGAAGGAAGGAAGGAAGGACGGATGGATGGATGGAGAGGAAACAAGGAAGGAACGATGGAGAGATGGAAGGAAGGAAAGAAGGAAGGAAGGAATGATGGATGGAAAGGAAGGAAACAAGAAAGAATGGAAAGAAGGAAGGAGGTAGGGAAGGAAGAAAGAAATGATGTTGAGAAAACCCAGAGATGAATCAAATGATCGATGAACAAAACAATCGATGGATAAATGAATGAATGAATGAATGGATGGATGGATGGATGGATGAAAATGAATGGATGAAAGAGTGAAGACTTGGTGCCCAGTTTCAGACAGCTCTCCCTCTGAACACGACTTCTGATTGGTTCCAACAGCCCTCTTTCGTAAAACGTTTTCTGATTGGCTCTCTCAAAACACGAATTCTGATTGGTTCCCAGAGCTTAAGGATTCTTCAAAACACGATCGCGAGTTCTGATTGGTTCCCGGTTCTAAGAACACGCTAGTCCCAGATATCCCTTCAAAAGGCCACCAATCAGAAAAAGACTGGCATGTCTCAGTACTCACCCAAGGCGCTCAGATACTCATCGAGGTTCTCCGACTTGACGTGCTTCCAGTTTCCGGTGAAGGCCATCGTGATTGGTTGTTAACCTGAAACGGAAGTGACGACATGTTACTAAGGCAAAATTCTCCTGTTGTCTGTTACACTAGTAATTATTTTTACCGAATTCGAAGGAAAACATATTTCTTCTTCCTCTTCCTCTTCTGTTCTAAACACTAACCTCTGACCTGACCAATGACATGATTTGTTGACGTCTGTCACCATGGTGACTGGTGTTAGGTTACACAATGTTGCAATTTCATGGTCTGCTCTACTCCTGTCACCATATACTCGTAGTACATGTATGTGAATGTGTTTGAGTAAAAAATTAACAGGGCAGATCATGTCCAAAGGTAAACATTATGCATTTGCTTTGCAAATGTTACTTCTCTAGTTGATATACGTTAATGCAAAGTCACCATGAGTCATGCATATAGCAAATAGCAAAGAGGGAAACGATCATTAATATTTCAACAGTCAAGACAACCTTTGGTAGGGTTACTATAAGTCGAACCCCCTAATAGCATGACAAGAATAGTTTAATAAAATAGAATAGATTAGAATAGCAGTTACATTGTTCCTATTACCTGTTCACATATTGCATATTTACTTTTTTATCCTGTATGTATACCAACGTTATTAGATTTAAGTAGAGATAGTAGGTTCGATAAGTGTATCATACACGTAGAAGTTCCTGTTAGCAAATAGTCTTATACATGTATCACCACATTTTCTTGTCAATGTCTGTATGCAATTAGCCCTCGGGCAGGAATTTGCAATAAACAACTTCACTATAATGTGGATACTGTCTACGATTACTGGAAAGGTTGATGACCTCTCGGGCACTAACTTAATGACCTTTCGGTCAGTTTTCATGGCAACTTGAGAAGTGTTATTATAACATATCCAGTAACACGAAAAACCACTCACATGAAGGTCAATGACCGCTCGAGCAAAGTAACTCAATGTGCAGGAAAGGGATAGACTTGGAAATTATCTTAAGTTTATAGAATGTGTATCCCGAGATATTTTGCTTCATTTTTTTATTCTCTTAAACCTTTCTCCGCGACAAATGGAAATTTAAGCTTACAGCTGTAGGTACCTGCATGCACTTACGAAACAACAAGCGTAAAGGGGCGGGGTCCGTTCAGTACTAGTCTTGCAGTTATAGGGTTGTTGACTTAAAATTTAAAAGATTCTGGGTTCGAATCCATATAGCAGGCCCCAGTGGGAAAGGGCCGTTACACCTAATTCCTCACTTGATTCAGATGAAAAAGGGAGTAGCTCGTTTTGGTTAGGGACGTTCTCTTGGATGAGACGTAAAGCTGGAGGTCCCGTGTTTGAAAAAAAATCACGATGTTTTACTCGTACAAAAGATCCGGGACCGCTTCATTTGAACACATTCTTCTGTTATCGGGGCAAAAATCTACAGACTCCCATTTCAGGACCCACTGTTTAGACTTAACTCGATAAACCTACAAACGTTTGTTACTCCTTGTAGGCGTTTCTTTACCTATTCGGTACTTGATTATTTATCACATTCATTTAGTTGAGATAGGAAATTCTATTCGAAATTCGTGGTAACTGGCACTAAAAAAAGCGATAAATAGCTGAAGATCCTATTCGCGAAAGCTGACTGGGATTGTCACTTGACACTATTTAACACACCGAAAATATGATAGCTGTATACAGCTACTACAAAAAAAAAGCATAAGCTGCAGTTCTTACCTTGCCTTGTGTTGTGTACTGCCGTTCAGGTATGGTTGTCGCCAGCCAGAGTGCCGAGTTGGACGAATCGGGTCTTATTTATACTTATAGAATAACAGCCACGCCTTACACGAACAATACATGTAGGTATTATCGTATTACACCACAAAGCTTGTGAACAAGTATAATACAATACCTCTTGACATGCGTCATGTGAGTCATCGTTATGAGAAGGATGACAAGTTGTGGTACGGACGAAGGGAGACGTCACCCCGAAAGGGCAATGGCCTTAAGGGCATGACCGTACGGGCATGACCTCAAATCTAGGTTTGCTCTCACTCAGCATTAGCAGCCAGACTGCCTAGACTGAACGCTGTCAGGGTTTTGCGCTGAGGAAACTTCATATAAAAATCTCTTTCTGTCCCTGATCTTAGCGATCTCCCTCGGAAGACTGTTCAAAATTTCAACAGTTGTTGGTACAAAAGTTCTCTCATGTTTGACGGTGTGGGAGACAGGGGTCACCAGAGTGTTTTTGTGCAGGGATTTGGACTGGCGTGTCACCCGCCGCACCTCTTGTGTTTAGGGACAAGGCCATTTTTATAGAGGGTTGGTGCCTCTCTGTGGTAGATACGGTGGAAGAGAGTCAATGTGCCAACTTTCCTGCGGTGGTCTAAAGGTTGTATGCGCACCTTGGTCAGACCAGTTGAGAAAAGTTTCATGATTTGCAAGGTTGATGACCTTTCGGGCAGATTGAATGCAAAAAGGCCTGAATAGGAGTGAGCTAGCGAATGAATGAGTTTTCTTTCGAGAGAGGAGGGGGAGAAATGTTGCTTTTCGATTTTGATTTAGATCTGCTTTTTCCTTGCAGTATGAAATATTTTCATTTCTCATGGACTACGTAGATATAGCTATAGGTACTAGTATATGTAAACTTGAACAAAGCTCATAAGTATATCTTTATTCACAGAAATTAAAAAAAAACAAACTACAAATCATTTCAGTTACCCTGTGTTACATTTTTCTCAATCTCATTTGATACATTCTTATTCTGGTGATATTCCTTTCATGATTGTATTTAAATCTCATTTATCCCACATGTAGTTGTTACTGGCCTATAAAACCAAGAGTATAAGACTAAGAATTACTATTATAATATTAATCAACTTAACAACAAAACAATAGAATATCTAAACAAAACAAATAACTGAGAAGTACCAATGTGACATTTACTAGATAGATAAAATTGACTCTAAATTCGCCAGCTACACAGCGTCAACTATATGTGGTCGCCATGGTAACTGTTGCTTTGGTGATGGGTCGTTATGGTAACTGTTGCCATGACTACTCCTCTCTGGCGAAGATTCTGGTGCATGTCGTCCCGTTCGGCGCCGACATCGTCTGTCAAAATAAACAGTCAAACACTAGAAAGGTAACATTTGCAAAGCAAATGCATAATGTTTACCTTCACATATGGTCTGCTCTGTTAATTCTTACTCAAACACATTCATATATATGGTCAGACAGGAGTCTAAATCCCTCCTGCTATTAAATTGCAACATGATGTAACCCAGCACTAGTTACCATGGTGACAGACGGTCTGGTTCAGGTCATTGACCAGGTCAGCTAGTGTTTGGAAAGAAAGAGGAACCTGAACTGACCAGATACAGCCGTCCGTCATCCCTCAGCTCTCGTTCTGACCACATCGGCCCCCGGGGTCCCTCTACTGCCGTGTGCAGCTTCCCGTCCTTCCACGTCATCGTACACTACAGGGGAAAAATAAAACATGAAATCCGAGATTTCAAACCTTACAAACTGTTCTTCTTGGTAAACGTACACTACAGATGAAAACAAGAATTAGGAGACCTCAAACGCCCATAAAATATTTAGATCTTATGCGATGGTGACTGTGTCCTCTCCTCGACCTCATTCACCATGGCGCCCACAAGTCTTACTTTAAGGAACAAGAGAAACATCACAAGTTGTCAATGAGATCGAGAAAAAAAATTCAAAAACAGTGAGCCCCACCAAATGTTTACGTAGACGTGATTAATGATCTAATGACTGCACCCAGCCACATCCATTACAACCTGACCTAAAGACCATTCCGAAACACACGCACACACACACACACACACACACGGACAAACACATGGACAAACACACGGACAAACACACCACAGGCATCAAAAACAATATAATATCTGCATTTTCATGGAGTTAAAAAATGACCTACTATGTTTAGGTCACAAACCAGTGACTTGCGTGGGTGGAGACACCACTTCCTTCCAACTTGACCTTCCGGTCAATCTGTGGTAACAAAACCACGTACTGCCCCCCCACACACACACACACAATCAAAATCTAAAATAATTTAACAACCTTGACTTTCCCAATTGGTGAGTCATCCTCGAACTCCTCCCCGATAGTGAAGGTGGTGACTTTGGTCTGCAGTCCGCTGCTCGTGATGACGAAGTTGTCCCCGTTCTGCTGGACCTCCTGCCGGGGAGTCGCCGCTTTCGCCAGCTGACGGATCATGAAGTTAACCCCTGGTTTGTATAAAATGTAATTTTAAAGAATTTACTCAAAATTTATTATAATACATAATGATACACTCGCAGTGTCATATGCAACGGATAAGAAACGGAAATTGTTTGTAAAGCTACAAAGAGACAGCATGGTCTAGAGAGACAGAGAGATAGATAGAGAAAGTTAGAAAAAGAGGTTAGAGGGAGAGGTAGTGTATGTGTGTGTGTGTGAGTGAGAGACAGAGACAGAGACGTATAGGGACATAGGGAGAGAGAGGGAGAGAGAAAGAAAGAGAGAGAGAGCGAGAGAGAGAGAGAGATCGTATATGAAGGACTGGCTTACCCACGGCTTGTAAATAAGCATCAAAGTTGTCCGAGTCCACCAGTTTCCACTTTCCGTTAAAATCTGTCGTCATCTTGGATCGGTTCTGAAAGAAATTTGCACATTGTTGGTTTATTTATACACCCTTTACTCACATAACACCATGCATCTACAATTTCGTTTATTTCTTGTCGTCACAGGTTTGTGAAAATATTATTCAATATGTTAAAAAACGAACGCACGAGTACAACGAAGTGAATTTCACCGTTATAGTACAGGTGTGAGGAAGGTATACTAGTACTTGTTGACATATACAGGCCTAGGCCTGTGACCTTTACCCTATATCACACCGCCATGACTTTTTACGTACGTACAATCTAGATGGTTATGGCGTACTTAAGAAACAAATGCGTAAGGAGTTACAGTTATCAAATATTCTTTTCATTTTATGCTGTATTAATGGTATATAGTAGACAGACAACAGCATATAAGGACCTTACACCAGCATTCTGCATGTGAAAACTCTCCCTAATTGTCTAATATAAACATACGCTGAGAAAGACACGGATACTGTTACAATTATTTACAGCAAAGGGGTTTGTTGTTCAGTAATAAGTTAAGACTTTAAAGTGGCCTTAAACTTAACAGTCCAGTTTTCCTTCACAAAACAGAGAAGTGTCTGTATAACGATCCATGAAGCAGAAACAACATAGAGCTAAGGGAATGACCGACATGTCAAAACTCGAACTTTGTACAGCACAGAAGGGCCACTTAGGGGATAGGACGACCTTAAAGACATTGCCCTCAAATCAATGACTTGAAACACGTACACAAGAACCCGCAGGTTCTGGGTGTTTCTTTGCTATGACTAATAGCAAAAATCTGTTGAAGAACTGGTAGTTTTACCTTAAGAACATTTACCTTAGACACAGCAGCACACGTACACCTACCCACGCCCACTGGTGTTCTTAGCCCTATTGTTATCAGGTGACCCCTTGGTTATCAGGCAGACTGTGCCACCCACTAGTCATTCAGGGGGTGTACAATTTCAAGAGGTACTTCATAGTAACGTTAGCAATGACATTTAGGACTTAGCTACACAATTTTATGTTAGGTAGCGCTTCTATGAAAATAAGGAGACATTTATATATTCTAACCTGTAGAATGATTACAGTCTGCACAAAAACGTACAAGCTTCACCACCTATCACTCGGTACAATGGTACAGTCCAAGTAGTTGGGGCATGAGCCAAACAGGTGAATGACCTTACGGACAACTTAGAAACGTGCTTTGTGTAATGCGTTGCATATTGTGCAGTTTGCATTGAATTTCTGTCCGTTGTAACATACAGTGCTATCGTTAGTATGCAGTTTAAAACATGACATATGTTATATATAAACCTTGTATATGGTTTACCTTGGATAAACCTTGTATATATAAACTTTGAGGCCCTGGTCAAAATCCAGTGGTTCAAGCTATTTTGTATGGGTCATATTTGGTGGCCTGCATGCCCGTTTTTGTAAGGCGTAAACAGGCCATTTTAGTCTTCGTAATCCCGTAGGCAATAGCCCGAAATCACCGTAATTCGTAATCAGTACATTAGCAACGCGTAGCTGTTCGTAATCAGAAAGAAAGAAAGAAAGGTCTCCCGTGCCCTTATGAAGAGCGTAGGGTGGTGCCCATATCCATTTCTGTAGCCCTTGGGCGACACACAGTTGTGCAATGCACTACAGCAGGGGGCTAGTCCGCTGGTAGTGCTGTGTGTTTGACCTTCCAACACTCTTTCTCATATGTGCTAAGTGCTAAGCAGAGAAAGCAGTATGTACCATTTTAAAGTCTTTGGTATGACCCGGCCGGGGTTTGAACTCACGACCTCCCTGTTACAAAGTGAGCACTCTACCAATTGAGCTATTGCACCGGTAATCAGCTCTGAGAATTTAACATGCTTTGTAATCGGCAGTGAAAATTTTGCGTAATCCGTAATCACTACCCCTATATGATACGCATACTACACGTCGACCATACCAAGGATATTCAACCTCCTTGGCCATACCGTATGTGTTGGCGACCTGGGTCCCACGGTCGCGTTCCGAGGTCGCTGTGAAGAGAAGTGGGCCTTGGGCCGAGGGCCGGGCCGAGGCTCCTGCAAGCCGACCACAAGAAACACCGCCGCAGTTACCACAAGGAGGAGGCCCGTGAATTTTCGAACGAGTATCCTCCACATGTCTTACAGTTTCTCGCTTTACACAGCTTTCCTCACTCCACCCAGGTGTGAAATGGGTTCCTGGCTTCGGTTGGGGAGGTAAAAGACAGTGGAAGGAGAGGGATGGGCTCTGCCTTCTAATACCGTGCCCTAGACACAGTGGACTAACAACCCACTACCCCTACGGCCTCAAAAAAGGGCTATGAGACTACCTTTTCAACAATTTGCCATGAATAACATCGTCGGCGTCACCATAGGCCGAAGTTCAACAATGGTGTTTATGATTTATTTGCGTTCGTCCAAAATTCGCACGTTCACATAAATGACACTCAGTTTGTCTGAGGTAATCAGTTTTAAGTAGAAAAATATATATTCTGACTTTTCATCATACATAAATAACCCATCAAATAATTCATATTATTAATAAATAATTCATATGATATTAATAACGTTGATACTAACGTTGTGTGTCCTTTAGCCGCTTGACTTATATGTATAAAATGGTCGATGTTTTGACTTGGAAATCCTCAAATTAGAATGTTTGAAATATTTGCACGCGGAATGGACCTTGACTTTTAAAACCACCCTGTTATTTTCAGAAACAAGCCTTGAAAAGGTTGCTTGGAATGTAGAGCTACATACTTGCCTTTGCCCTACTTTGTAGTTATCAAACCTTTTCTTTGCTTAAAAGAGATGTAGTTGGCTTTTATCATAGTTATGGATGTTTTTTTAGGTTAACTTTCTTCTGTTCAGATGCATTTGATGTTAACGTTTACTGGTTATAACGTTCTACTCTCCAAGCAGAGGTTTGGGTTTTGGCTTATTTTTGTTGGCGTTTCTAGGCTTTTTTATCGGGCTTTCTTTTTTTTTTGCACTGGTTTCGCGTAAAAACAGATACAAGTAAAAAAAAGGAAGCCCGATAAAAAAGCCTAACAACACGACAAAATAAGCCAAAACCCAAACCTCTGCTTGGAGATCTTGGAGAGTGATAACGTTGTGTATTCCTTTGCGTCAGCTAGGTGCTGTTCACTGATTTCCGCTAGATGGCGCTGTTTCATTGCCCTGAGGTGAGCACTTGACCATCGCATGTGTTGCAGTGTGTCTCTCTCGTTTTCTACGTTTCAAACCATTGCAGTCTGTTCAGAGGAACCTCAACATTCACCTTAAAGGTATCTGACTAATTAGGCCACTTTTACTTTAGCTTTAGCGCTTCAGGCGCACAGAAAACACGTGTATAGCGTAGCGCATTTAGGTGTGGGGAGGGGGGCGCATGCATGCTGTTGCGGTGCATTTGAATATCCACAAAAGACGCCACGTAATGCCTTGATAAGACAAGAAATAGCGGTGCGACGCAGGACGAAGGAACGAGTGCAGCTGAAGGATAGCGAAGCAGCAAATTGCGAGGTTTCTAACCTTCCAATTCACTTGATTTTTGCAGCAAAAATTCGGACAAACCTACAGTATGGCGAGTGGTGAGGACCCCTTTGGGTGTCTGAAGTTGTCCTCTCAGGAGTGCCTGATTTCTCAGGACCGTAGAACGGTCTGTCCGAAGTGTCAGCTCTCAAGAAAGTACTTCTGTTACACATGCTACGTACTAGTGGCTGAGTTGGAGGGAAAGGTGCCCAAAGTTAAGGTAAGTTTACTGGAAATCTTGATACTTGTTTGTAATCTCCAAGCAGATGTTTCGATGGCTGCAAAATACAGTATCAAATTGGCCTGGCAGTACTAGTATCCATTTTGTAGTAACGTTACAGTTTGCCGCACCCAAAAACTGCACTCTCCAGCGGACCAACTCCACTGGCATGATATCTCTCTATTTGGCTGATTTCTACTCTCTCTAGCCGCCTCCCAAGCCTGGTAGAGGCTATCCATTTTGCCACATTTTGTCACTGGATGTTTAACACCAGTGCCTGTCCTTGGTGCTGATAGCTTTCCATTGAATATGTATTTGTTTGTAATCAATGAGAGGATGAAAGACAAGTCAACATTGGTTCCTCTTTGGTCAAACGTTTACTGTAAATCACTTTATATCTGTGGTACTTTTACATTTGTGGTCTTTCACGTTCTGTACTGTGAAGTTATCATTAACTGTATTTTTCAGACCGCGAAATTTTACAGTATCTTTATAAAGTTTATTGTAGCAATTGCAAATTCCAACGACTCTGATTGTCCCCCAATAGTTGCCCTGTAAGGTGGACATTATCAAGCACCCTAAGGAGGTAGATGGAAAGAGCATTATGTGTTAGTAATGGATGTTTAACACCATTGTCTGTCCTTGGTGCTGATGGCTTTCCATTGAATATGTATGCAATTACAAATTTCAATGCTGACAAAAATGACTAATCTCCAAGCAGATCCCTTTCGGTGGCAAAAAGACAGTATCAAATTGACCAGGCAGTATCCATATTAGCCATAGAAGGTTGCCGGCCACTGACGGTGAGGGTAGCGACAAAAAAAAAACGGCCATATATAAAAAGGTAACGATCATTCCCCCACAACCTCTGCTTGGAGAGTTGAAAATGACTACCAGTGTAATTCTTTCCCCAATAGTTGCCCTTCAAGGTAGACATCATCAAGCACCCTAAGGAGGTAGACGGGAAAAGCACGGCCGCTCATGCTGCCATTCTGGCTCCCGATGACGTCACCATCTACACCTATCCCATCATTCCAGAGTTCTCCGATCCAAGCAAGGTGAGAGGTCATTTCTAAAGGCCATTGCATGGTTTGGATTACGTGTGCTGTAATTTGTGAATGCTGTAACTTGTCAACCGCGAACTAAGGACACCTCGAATACTACATGTAGTTAATTATATGTCTCCTTTGAATTGCAAGCTCAAAATATTGTGAAGACATCCTTGTCTGTCCTTTTTGAAATAAACCATGACAAAAATGCATGAATTTTACTACAAGTAGTACTAGAATTGGAAGTGAAGTTGTATGCTAATTTAGGGATCTCTCTTCAATACTGGCATAATGTGTTCATATGGCCATGTTTAACAAAGGAAATCTTTGAATTCAATTTATAAATAAAAGTTTCTTCCGTGGCTGACATACAAGATACATTCATTATAATACACTGCACTAAAGCTTTTTTGTTGTAAGATATTATGGACAGCTGTTTGTTTTTACTTCCAAGGTGGTGATTGTTTTCCCTGGGTTAAATGCTCTCTCATTGGAGGATCTCAGCAAAAAGCAACGAGGACTACCAAAGAGTCAAGACAAACCCCAAAACATCAAGAAACCACAGGCAACAAGTAAAGAAACCAAGGACGGCAGTACAGAAAATGGCAGAGAAGAACAACAGAAAGAAACAGTTAAGAAAGAAAGCGAAGATGTTCAAGAGCCCCCGTTGAAAAGACAGCGCACGGAAGGACAACAGTCTACGCCATTTGAACGTGTAATCTTCATAGACAGTACGTGGAACCAAACACATCGGATTTTCAATGATGAACGACTCAAAGGTAACAGGACAGTATAAAGTAGAGTAGATGCCTTTTGAGCATCATTCTATTATTTTTGGATCTGAAAACATTTGGCTTTTGTGCATATAACAGTGTAAGTTGTATTAGTTATAGACTTACAAGTGGCTTACCATTTCTAGGTATCTCTACACACATTAAGTTACAGATTGGAGCTTGTTTTAATGACATACATCTTTTCCACATGTTCATAGAATATGTGGAAGAATATATATATAACGTACTAGATGAGCCTTTTGGAACTGTAATTATGTACCAGTAGTTGCCATACTTTGTACCTTGTTTTGTAATTAGGTTTCTTTATACTGTCTGTGCAATTTTTAGAGATTTGTACCCAGATGTTTACTATGACTTGCCTATTTCAATACTCCAGGTCTCCAGTGTGTTATTCTAAAGGACCACGTGACTCACTTCTGGAGACACCAGCGCAACAAGCCCGACACATTCCTGGCAACAGTGGAAGCCATCTACTACTTCTTACGCGAGTATCATGATATCTTCGAGGGTGTGACGTATGACGGGAGATTTGACAACCTCCTCTACTTCTTCTCCTTCATGTTCCAGATTGTACAGAAAAGCAAGCAGGAAAAGGGCAGACTCAAGGAGGAAAAAGATCCTTAATTTTTAAGTTATACTTCTGCAATGGTCATTGTGAAGCAAGTTTAAACTGTAGTTTCCAACTGCTACACAAGAAATTCCAGATTGTACAGAAAAGCAAGCAGGAAAAAGGCAGACTTAAGGAGGAAAAAGATCCTTAAGTTTTAAGTTATACTTCTGCAATGGTCATTGTGAAGCAAGTTTAAACTGTAGTTTCCAACTGCTACACAAGAAATTCCAGATTGTACAGAAAAGCAAGCAGGAAAAAGGCAGACTTAAGGAGGGAAAAGATCCTTAATTTTTAAGTTATACTTCTGCGTTGCTCTAAGTCATTGTGAAGCAAGTTTAAACTGTAATTTCCAGCCGTTACACAAGAAATTCCAGATTGTACAGAAAAGCAAGCAGGAAAAGGGAAGACTCAAGGAAGAAAAAGATTCTTAATTTTTAAGATATACATCTGCACAGGTGCTAATGTTCATCTCTTATTACATGTAATCTAATATTAAGATCTTTAATTTTTAAGTTAGACAACTGTACAGGCACTTAGAAGTTAATCTGCTCCAGTTTTTAGTAGTGAGACCTTTGACAGAATTCCCTCCCACATATAATGTCATATGTTGGTGAAGATTAGACATCCAGATAATGAGATTGTACTGACTTGTATATACAAATACACTTTCAATCATTCCCTTTTTATTTTTTATATGTAGTTCTTTTAGTAATAGCTGCAGATAGACTCGGTTGCTGTATAATAGCAGTTGTGCATGTAATGTGAACTGTTCTGTTGTCATTAGAACTTTCATATCTACATGTGGTTTCACTTGTTCTTTTCAAATCACGTAAATCTGTACCTAAGTCGAATGACCTTGAAAATGAATTACACAAAAAAACAACAAGTCAACATATCTTTAGAAAGGTGGCTATTTTAATGAAGAAGAAAAAACAATTTGCCATTATCTCTCCAAAAATTCCTACGTAGGGAATAAAACGTACATGTATGTTCCAAAAACTTCTCTTGGCTAAATTCAAAATGCTACACACTACTACCTGTATAGGGTGTATTTACATGTTTATAAACTAAGCAGAAATTGAGAGCACACTTACCCAAACATATTACTAGCACCTAGTGCCTGACACTAGACACTAAGATTTTTAGCATTGCTTACATATATGTACATGTAGTTACTGTTTACTGTACAGTACAGCATAAAGTCATACATGTACATGTACTATCAGTATAATCAGTGATACAAAGCAGTGAGCTGATGTTAGTGGATCTCCCCTAACTGGCTGATCCCCCTGACATCACTGGATCTCCCCCAAGTAAATCTTCTTGTCACTGGAAGCCGACAGCACTGAAACAAGAAATAGAATACAAATTGTCAGAGAACACAAATTTTTTCTACATACCACAACTCACATGTATATTGACCCTCATGGAGCAAAAATTCTGAGGGAAAATGGTTACTGGAAGGGCCTTGGGCTGATTTTTAGGGTACAACTCAGAAAATAAAGGACTCATCTTGGGGCTTGTTTTTGCAATTTGAAATGCCCAAAGTATGAAATGCTGATTTAAATGTGCTAATGTGAGGCAGTACATGTATGTGTCAATATCACAAAGATTGCCTTATTCAGAATATTTCCAGTTTTGCTGCCCTGAAATTCACATTGGACGCCTTTAACCACTGATGTGTTTCTACTCACCGATGGGTTCGTATGGATGGAAGTCGACTTCGTTGATGGATCCGTCGTGCCCGGGGAGTTTGTAGAGTATCCGGCGCGAGGTGGTGTCCCACACGTACACAAACCGGTCAGCAGAGCCGGCCGTGATCTTACTGCCATCAGGCGACCAGTTACATCTGATCAGGTTCTGTTAGGGAGAAAACAAAAATCAACAGAGAACAATCAACTTCTGTGAAAAAAGACAGGTCATTTCAAGCACTAAATCAAAGATTTAGAGATGTAAACTTCTTGTTTCTCACTGATTCTGTGCATATTCAGGGCTCAAAATTCATTTTTGGGAATAGGTGCACTGGTGCACCCAACCTAAAAAATTGGGTGCACAAAAGTTTTTTTGGGTGCACCATATACAAAGATTTTATTATTTTTCTGACACTTAGATGCCAAGAATATCCTGTATACTATCATACATTTGATATGTACAAAAATACCTACAAAAAATTGGGTGCACAGCTCAAAATTTGAGTGCACATGTACCCAGTATTTTGAGCCCTGATATTCCATGGTCACTTTTTCAGCATACAGGGAAACTATCTCCAATTGAACCTCACTTCTTCTGAGCCAATGGGGCGACCATTTTGACCTTCAATTTGACTTTCCTGTCATTCAGCAGCAACACCACTCTGCCTTCTTGTAACTCTACTGCACTCAAATACCATGGACACACAAGCAACATGTCTTTGAAAGTAAATAACATTTTGTGTTGAGATTTCCATTTAACACAAGATGAACATGAAATGGAGTAACTCCTGTATCTACCTTTTCAAAGCTGTGCTGGTTCCCCTGGAATATCTTCACACATCTCTCCTGGGGGGCAAACGGTCTGACATCCCAGATACGCACTGAGGAAAGGAAAATGAAACATCCTTAATTCACCAAAATATGGCAGACTTCACTCAAACTACTTCGTAACCATTTCAGTCACACTGAGAAAAGTTGAAGCACTCAGAATGTGTGGCAAACACATTCAAGTTAGCAAAAACATTTAGTACTGACTGCAGTACAGATTTACACAGAAATGCACACACACAAATACAGAAACACACAAACATGAACACACACAAACACACACTAGTTAATACAAAATGTATGCACACACACACATATACAAATTACATACATACACACACACGCACATACTAGTTAATGCACACACAGACTCACACACATATATAACAATATGAACAGAAGAAACCACAGTTATCCACCATGCCAAGTTTACCTGTGTTATCCATGGCACATGACAGCAGGTAGGACCCGTCCTTACTCAGACTCAGTCCCGTCACCGTGTCCATGTGACCTCTCATCTTGTAGATAACGTCATTCTTTCTCAGGTCCCAACACTGTAACAAACACAACATTTATGGGATTGTGTTTGGACTTTCAAGTAATGTGTTAAGTGAAATGATTAAAAGCAAATACATGTATTTCTTTTGTATCAAAACCTGACAAAACATGAAAATCATGAACACAACATGCATGGGATTTTGTTTCAACTTGTAATACAACTACAAGTGAAATGATAAAAAATTTAAATGCAACAACATTTCTTTTTCATCAAAACTTAACAAAAGCTGAACATTCTGGCGCTATTATAGCCATTTTCCTGCTGTCTCAAATTGCAATCAATACAAAATCAGTGTAAAATAGGCACTCAGCAGGCAGAAGGTTCAAAAGGTCTGTTACATATGACAGAGAGTTTTGTGTGCATATACAATACCAAAACCAATACAAGCTGTCACAATATGGAATAGGTAACTACATCTAGCAAAATCTACATTTTTAATTGTACATTCATTGCTGATGGTACCATAGCATGCTGGAGGTTAATTTGGTCTTTGTTTGACATGAAATGAAGCCACCTTATCTTACATACCTTGATATCGTTGTCGATCCCACCAGACAGGATCTGGTCGCTGGTGTCATTAAACGAGACAGACGTGACCTGGTACGTGTTCTGGAAAGTCTGCGCTGAACCCTTCTTTCTGGTGTCCCAGAGCTGGAAATAAAAACAGGAAATGTCAACTGTTTCTTTTAAAGATTTGGGTGTACAGAACCAATTTTTGGGCACACAAAAATGGACATCACAGGGCTCTTGCATGAATGATTCGAATAACCTTAAATTGATTTTCAATGTTACTCTACACCAGCAGAAAGAAGCATTTTGAGTCCGGAAAGCAAAAACAGTCCTTCACAAGTAGAACACAGACTGTCCAAACAGACTCACTGGTTTAGGCTTAAGCTCATTTTTGACATGTTTTTAAGTGGGTTTTTTTTTTTAGGAGAGGTGCATTAGATACTTCCTGGCCAATGATACAGTCCTGCTAATTTGATACTGTCTTACACAAGTTACAGCCACCAAAAGACCTGCTAGATTACTCATAGGGCAAATGGGCCAAAAAATCATTTGTTTCAAGATAATCTACACTGGACATGCCACACAAAAATCAATGTGCCATGCCGTAAAGCAGTGGCGGGGCTGTTTACATACTCAAAAAATCTTTCATCTATAACACATGCCATATGGTGCCACACATTGATTGTCGTAGAACAAATGTTGTCTTTCTGTGTAAATCACCCTTACCCTGATGGTACTATCATCGCTCCCACTCACGACCATCTGCGGCCCGCGCCGTGACGGGTGACAGGAGTTAACAAACGTGGAGTGTCCTTTCAGCCGCTTGATTCTCGCGCCTGTTTCCACGTCGAACAGACCCACCGTTTTGTCCGTGGACGCAGAGAAAAGCGTACTGGAACAAGATAGGGATATTAGTTTGTTTGTTAAGTAAGCCTGAAACTGAGTGAAAGTTTATCTGTGTTGATAGAAGTTATTCTGGAACAAGTTTGAACTGTTATTTACAACACACACAAAAAAAATTCTCATTCCTTGACAAACACTGGAAATGAACAGATAAAAATTTGTGTTAGTCCAATTTCTTTGTGTTGGAAATTACAGTTCAAACCTGTTTCAGTTTTGAACCTGACAAAATTGCAAAATGTACATTCAATAATTTTGAGCCTTGTATTACAAGTTTTTGTCCTTGTAACAACATTATTTTTGGGGGAGATTGTTGGGGAGGTATGTGGGGGAGGCAAAAAATGTGGTGTAGACCAGATTATTTTTTAAAGATAGAAAAAATAACGAGTCTTTAGGGCATCCCCAAGAAGCCCAGATACAGTGCTATCTAAAAGCCTGTTGCATGCTGGTACTAACCTGGACACCTCCAAACCCTTACAAGCATGGTGGTAGTAGAAATGTAGATATGTAAATATGAATCTTTGTCTAAATTTTATTTTTACGACCTCTGACCTCTCGGTACTACTTGCATGTTGTGTGTGGTTATGTAGTGTGTAGTTAAGCCTTACCATGTTGTGATGAAAGTAGTTTGTAGTCAATGACTCCAGGAAGAATAGTATGTATGGCAAATGATGTCTGTACAAACTAATGGAGATCGGTCTAATAAACAATAAACAATAAACAAACCTGCCATCCGTTGAGAACTGTATTTCCATGATGGCTCCAGAGTGTCCGTTTAACACTGCGTAGTTCTCACAGTCTCCGTACACGTTCCACAGGACTGGAAAAAACAAAAACACATATTACATATCAATCAATAGTTTGTGCTTATAAACCTGCCTTTCTCTCCTGGTCTAGCAGTACTTAAGCCTAGGAAAAAAATGTTGGTTTCCTCTTTTCCCGACCGACCCTGGAAAAAACTGCTGACCTTAGCCTTTTTTTAGGGTGGACCCCTGAAAGGGTCATGAAATTTTCAAGCTGATCAACCTTTTCTGGCTCCATGATCTGACACCTGAGCAATGAAACATAATTGTACAATCAGTTTTCCAACATTGGCATTTAAAATAAAAGTGTCCTCATGCAAGTTTTACTTTATCAAACTGTATTGTATCACTAGAGATCACCAAACTCAAAGTCTAAAAAAAAAGATAGGAAAAAAAGATAATCCCTACCTACTGACCATACATGTACTTATTTTCAGGACTGAAACAGGAAACACAAGATTTTTTCCTAGGCCTGAATATATAATAGCTGATACTTAGTACCAAGGGTTAACTTGTTGAATACTCACAGATGTTTCTGTCGAATGACCCGGAGGCCAGGAGGTTTCCCTCGGGATGGAACTTGGCCGCGTAGATCTCTCCCTCGTGACCAGACAGGAGCATGATGGGAGCCTGAAGACTAGACGTGCGTGGGGGACCCTACGGAACACAACATTTATTTATTTATTTATTAATTTCCATTTAGTTCATAAATACATAATGAAAAATTATACAAAATAATACAAAAGAAATAAATGAGCAGTGCAAGGGCAGGAAGAAAAGCCGCAAAATTAATATGGCTTATTTAAAGTCCTCCTCTTCATGAAAAATTTATTTCAGCAAAGCTCAAATTTTAAAATGGTTGAAGTATTTTCAACTTCACTTCAAGGTTTTCCCAATCACTTTTCCACTTTACTCATAAACAGACACTAGCCATGAGCTTACTATTTTTTTTCCTGTGCCACATGTAGAGTAGTACGAACTCAAATTCAAAGATATGGCAAATTAAAAAAAAATCAAAAAAGTTCTGGTTTTGGTTTTTTGGTTTTGCCCACGATCTTGATAATGATCATTCTGGCATGCTCATTTTCACCTGAGTGAAGTGAGGAAAGTCTTGTAAAGTGCCTTTCCCAAGGGCACAAGATTGGTGACAAGGTAGGGTTTGAACCCGGGACCTCTTGGTTCCAAGTCAAACACACTACACTGTAAAATACACGTATTACCGCTATGCCACACAACCCCACTGTTATTTCTTACCGTAAAGCTTAGAGTAGTTAAGTACATGTACTTTCAAATTTCACTTTACCCACAATTTGATCATAAATAATTTACTAGTAATCATAAAATTATAGTCATAACTTATAACTATACATAAGCATGTTATTTTTCAAATCCAAAAATACTTCACCGTTCTGTAAAATTCAGATGCTAGGAACTTTAATTTACAGCACATTCCTCATGGTCATGTCAGTGCATGGAGGTAGAAAAAGAGAAGGCCTTCTCTTTTTCTACCTCCATGGTCAGTGTTACCATTTTCTAGCAACGTACATCATAAAGTTCTGAAAAGTTAGTTTCTGTGCCAAAACTTGTTACTGTTTTAGAACGTTATTAACTTAAAAGCAACTAAGATGCAGTTTAACGAAGTTCTGCAAATAGGGGAGGCTGGGAACACTTAATACATGTAGTACATTACAAGATTTGGGCAAATCCCGGGGAAGTTTGAAATAATTTTTTACATGGTGAAAATGAAAAACCCTTGCCCCCCTCCCACCCACAAAAGCGTGCGTAGAGAAGTCGAGAGAAAAGAACACTCACGGCTTGTAAAAGTTGCCTCTCCTGCGCCGCCACCGCCACCAGCTCGTTCCTCTGTCTCTTCGCGGCCACCAGGGCCATCTCCTGCGCTTTTCTCTTCTCCAACATTGGCATTTTTCTTGTGAAAATCCCCAAAAACTGACCAAAAATTCGGGCCGGCTACGCGTTGTCTTTCTTTCAGTACCACAATCCTTTGCGGGCGGCGGAATCTTCCACTCGAAAGCAGGGGTGTTCTTTTTATTACGAACTGGGCTGCCAGAGATCGGGCGGGAAACTTGCATTCTCTCTCTCTCTCTCTCTCTCTCTCTCTCTCTCACACACACACACACACACACACACACACACACACTGTAAGTTTAATACTAGTAGGCCACAGCACGTAAATTGTATGGATGCCATCATCCAGACGGACACCAAGAATGCGATAGGGCGAAAAAAAAAGGCGGGCCAAAAACTAAGATTTCTATATTTTCCAATTTTGAGATCATAAACCTTGTTAAACAATGATTTTTTTTCTTATTCAGCGGCAACATCACATGTAAAGGAATGAAAAAAAAAAGAAAAACACTGCAGCAAAGTAAAAAAACAAAACAATAAATAAAAGCCTTGTTTCGCCTCGTCTCCTCCCTTCATTTATCTGTCATCCACGTTCTGGCATGGCAATAGACATATTTGCCTATTTTCAGCATGTTGATTACTGTCAAATGGAAACAAAATTTCTTGTTTCTCTCCAAAATCAGGCGAAAATTAATGCGCGCGCTGATGTCATCCATAAAAATTACTTGCTGTGGCCTTACAAAGTGTAGCCAACAGGCGACTATAATTTATTAAATTGGCGGTGCTTCAAAGCCTTCCTCACTACCTCACGGAACAACATGAAAGCTACCCAAAAATGCCACATTGGAATAGCGAACATCGTCAACTTCTTTTATTCATCAAACAATTTCCACTCATCTTATTAGTCTGTGCCTCCGCTTGTTTAGTTGAATTTTCAGCATGGCGGTGTGGTAGCCTCCTTCGCAGTTTTGTTGGGCGTGGGCGTTATTTTTGTGAGCGACGCGAGTAATATGCGGCCGCCAGGGACGATTTGCTGCCGAGGGAGTTTTTGCCACGGAGAGAAGGTTTCCCGCTCCAACACCAACACGTGGCAAAAACTCCCTCGGCAGCAAATCGTCCCTCGCGGCTGCATATTACTCGCGTCGCTCACAAAAATAACGCCCACACCCAACAAGACTGCGAAGGAGGCTAGCGGTGTGGATTGTAATGTTACTCTCTCATTGTAAACAAACGGTGTTCGAAATCTGTTCTGTTTGTTCGGATACTGTAATTCACTTTATGTTCACTGTAGCAAAGTTCACGGTCTGAGAAAAGTGGACATGTTCAATTCACGGAACTTAATATATTCACTATGGCGACAGGTGCAGGAAAGAGAAAGTCCAGGAATTATCAGTGTTAACTGTAATGATAAGTTCACGGTACAGAAGTGACAGTGAAAACAGTGAACATAAAAGTACAGTGAAAAAAATCAGGGATTACAGTATGTTTTCGGTGGTGCTGAGAGTGTACCTTAATTTCAGTCTTTTCAAATGTGAGCACAGGGCAGAAAATATAGCTCCTATGTATGATATTTTAAACTCGTTTTCTTTTTATGCTTGATTGCTGAAATTGTTATTTGACTGTTATTATATGATACATCCCTCATTGAAGATCATTATTTTGTTAAACTCGCCAACGCGATTTGTCATTTCATCCTTTTTTTGTAATTTCAAAGTCACTCACTCACTTACTCACTCACTCACTCACTCACTCACTCACTCCCTCACTCACTCACTCACTCACTCACTCACTCACTCACTCACTCACTCACTCACTCACTCACTCACTCACTCACTCACCATACTTTCAAACGTACTCCACCCAGAATGCCATAAAACAGCCCAACACTGAGTGTTTACAACATGAAGACATTCTATTTGAACTCTCCAAACTCCTCAGCAAAACCTTCTAGTAGTCGCCTATGTCTGGTGGTGCCAATTTGAAATACCAACCAAAACGTACGGTAACCATTCCAAGTCTAACATCTATCATTCAAATATTTTTTTCACAAGTAATCATTAACATACAGTAAATCTTGAAACATATAACTCATGTCACATTAATATCGCACTATCACTTTTCACAGTCGAAGACTGCAAGTCTTTGCAATATTGTATTATTCAACATCAAATTTTAAAGTCAGTGACCATTCCAGGCCTAACATCTATGATGAACATAATTTTTTTCAAAAGTAGTAATTAACATAAATATTTTAAATGTATGACTCATGTCACATTAATATCTCACTATCACTTTTCACAGTCGAAGACTGCAAGTCTTTACAATGTTGCATTATTCAACATCAAATTTTAAAGTTATTCACTTCTGCAATACACATAACAGCAATACACAATACTAATGATATTTACTTCATTTTATGACGTTTGTTAATTACTACATTTGAACTATACATCGCTACTGGGCTATGTAGGTGCACATGCAAGACAATAGAACATACACAATGTGATATAAAATCACAAAAAGCTAGCATTCTAAGACAACGGTACAAAAGTAACCGAAGTACGTCAAATAACAGAATAAGATGGTGGGGTACATGAAACAAGCAAATGAAATACCTCTATAGCGAATGGTGGAAAAGATGCACCAGGAAATCAGGAAAAAATCATTTTGTCTGAAAAATGCTAAAAGCAACAAAAACAGTTATTGTGTGAACCATATTCATGGTTATAGAAGTATTATACCATTAAGAAGGGTTCCATAGGGCTGCACTAGTACATGAAAGGTGTATAAACTGTAGATGGGCTTTAGGCAGTTGTAGCCCCCTCTGTGATCTGACCCGTGTATTGTTAGAGTAACACTCTCTTTTATAATATAGCAGGGCTCTCCCCAAGCAATGGAGCAAGGGTGATCCCCCTCTCCCCAAAATCCTAGCACCTCTCCCAAAATGTTCAAATTTAGTGTTTTCTCTTTAGTATTTACAAGAAAATTCGCTGATTTTTCATCAACCGATTAGGGAACATGCACATCTCAGAATTAATGGGGAGACCCATGTTATAGGCTTATAGGTGTGTGAACACAGCACAAGATGTGGGGAGGGCCCAATCATGCCACTGGGCCTTGAAAAAATAAAATCACAAGCTCTGCTTAATGAATGACCCTGACATGGATTCCGAAGTCTACCGGTACCGCTGTAATGAATTCGCGTGGGGCCAGCCTTTGTGGTATAGATGTACGTAGATGTACCACAGTGACTGTGGTCCAGTCTAGTTTAGACAGTATGGTTTCAGTGTAAGTAATTGGTCGCACCCTAGGAGCCCTGTTTTGTAGTTGCTGAAGTTTATCTATGCATCCCTAATGCTACCTTGATCCCAGATAGACAATAGTGTAGCAAAATTAAAGTAGACTGGAGGAGGAACAGTGACGTGGCAGTTAACTGAAAAGTTCGTGATTCTTGCACATGAGAAGCAGAATAGCTTGTATTGCCTCATGTATATGGTTGTTTATGGAACTGTATTTAAAACTGTCCACACAATGTTTCATGGTTTTTAATGGGCTTAGACACCCCTGTATGATGCATATGCCTGCACACACTCTACTGAGAGTCATATCATGTACAGGTTTCTTGATTTTCGTAAATAACAGGTTTGTAAACAAAGCCTGTATTGGTGCAAAATATTGGGTCTGGCAAATGACATCGATTGTTACATTTTTTTTTATTCCGAAACATGTAATCACAAGACGTGGTGACGACACACTCAAGTTTTTTTTTCAACTTATATTAATGCCGACACCAACACAGGGACAGTACATTACTCATTTACACCTGAGCGAAGTGGGGAAAGCCGTGTAAAGTGCCTTTCCCAAGGGCACAAGATTGTTACATTTATGTATTCTATTGCCTGCGCATTTTTTCTTGCCTCATGACCCCGCCATCTTACAAGTTAAATGATTATAACTTCACCACTTGAAACAGTAAATGCCACATGGACGACAGCAAGCAAGGATACCCCAGTAGGTAGTGACCATATGCATGCAGCATGGCTCTGGATCAGAAGGTCCCGGGTTCGAGTCCCAGGAGCTTCTTGCATGCTTTGGGGTTTCAGTCCATACACTCGGATGCTTTTCTCCAGTCATTTTTAGACAATGCTATGATTTTCAATTTATTTTTCTATGATGCTTGTGTTAGAGTAGTTAATGAATGATATGATATAATTTTTCACTATCTTATTGCCTTGAAATGTGCCTAAGAATGAAGTATATATAATATTATCATGGTTATGGTTTAGCAAATTTATCATACAATATTTTAGAAAGGATTTGGCACCACCAGGACTATCGGTCACTTACATATTGTTTATGTCTTATTAATTTGAACCAGAAAGGAGTATAAAATGTCTTTTGCAAACAATTTAAAATAAAAGGCATATCATTTCTTTCAGAACAGTACTTACTTACTTATCCTCTTCGTCCCTTGTGAGACATAAGGCCATGACTTTTCAGAACAGTAAAGCCGTATTATTTCAGTCAATTCACACATAGAATAGAGCAATTCAGACATGCAGAATTCCAATTATCCTCCTTCCTGGTTTCCAAAGGCTACGTACTATTGACATACAAATTTTAGAATAAAGTGTTTAGGATAAGATGTACATTATACAGTAGTACCTGCTGCAGCCTAGATACTGTCCTGAGAAATTTGAAAAAAAAAACACAAACATCATCTAAGTACACAGCACATAATTATAAGCAGGACAGCATCCAGGCTATATTTTATTCCAACAGGAATCTCTGCACATTTGGTCAAAATTTAGGAGTTTTAGGAGCTAGAATTTCAAGGAGACTGTAGTACATGTAGTAGTATACACTTTAGTCTCCGCATACAATCAGTTTCCAAATTTTGCTATTAGTAGGAGCGAATTTCTGTTGTTGTTTTTTTCCAGCCCGGTATACTAGCTCTGTACAGAACTGTCAGAAATGAATTTATGCATGAATCTGCCAATCTCAAAACTGCAATGCTTACCATGTTCGTTTACAAAACCCTAAAATTTTAGAACACTGAAATTTGCTTCTATGACTTCTTATGTTGTCTCGTCAAAGCAGCAAATGTTAGCTCTGTAACTTTTTTTTATCATACCAAGAAATTTCTGTGCAGTCGTTAAACATTTTAGCAGAAATTGAGCCAAAATTGAAGAAAAAAATATGGAGTGCTAGCCAAGGCTTTAATAATAAAACGCATGGATGGCAAACAAAGCAAAAATCAACAACAAAAAGAGAACCTGAAAGAGAATGAAAACATGTCGTAGAAAGAAGGTAATACATATATACACAAAGCAAGAATTTTTCAGCCTTTCCTCTTCATTTCCAATTTAATCTTAAAACGATTAGAATATTACCAGATATTGTCACTTCATTTTGTTACATAAATATTCTTTTGGCATACTGGCACTTTCATTTCAAGTTTAAATTCGCTACAAATAATCTTTATGAACCTCTTAAAATGTAATTGTTAACCAGACCAAATTTAAGGCAAAGGTTATTTATTATCTGTGTCCATAACATTTGAAGCCCCCCCTCCCCCATGTGTGCACAGAATTTAATTGAAATATTGATTGGAGGGAGTGAAATAGAATTAAAGACGGTCTCACTACAGTGCAAGTTCGTAGCTTTTGACTTAAGCATCCAGTGCAGTTTTTAGGGTTTGGAAACCCGATTTTTCAGAGCCAATATTCTAGTCATTCATCTACATACTGAGTTGAAACCACACTATTCCAATGTATATTGACCCTCATGGAGCAAACATTTCCCAAAATTCTGACGGAAAATAGTTACTGGAAGGGCCCTGCGCTGATTTTTAGGGTACCACCCAGAAAATAAAGGACTCATCTTAGGGCTTGTTTCTGCAGTTTTAAATGCACACAGTATAAAATGCTGACTTAAATGTGCTAATGTGAAGCAGTATGTGTGACTATCACAACGATTGCCTTATTCAAAATGTTTCCAATTTTGCTGCCCTGAAATCGCATTGGATGCCTTTAAATAGACCCTACAGAGTGGCAGAGTACTTTGCTGGTCATGTGTGCTGTGGCTGGACAATGTTAGCCTGGTATCCAGACCTATTTTAGCTATCAAATCTATTTCGTCCTCTCCGCAATTTTCGTTGGCTTGAAGATAAAACAGGTTTGGATACCAGGCTAGTACAGGGTACGGTCTAGATGTGTCTGGCCAGAGATGGGGCGTTGTAGCAAGCTCCCTTGTCAGAGCGCAGAGCGGCGCCGGCATTCTGCTGGTAGGCGGGGGCCTTTCTGGCACCTGACGGGGAAGAGTTGTAGCTAGATGCCTTGCCGGTGCGCAGAGCGCCGCTGGCATTCTGCTGGTAGGTATGGGAGTTTGTGGCACCCAACAGGGAAGGGGAGTTGTAGCTAGCTCCCTTGCCGGTGCGCAGAGTAGCGCTGGCATTCTGCTGGTAGGCGGGAGCCTTTGTGGCACCCGGATTGGGAAGAATGACTGGGTGCTGGTAGCAGTTTTTGCCACCAGACTCATCGCTGCCGTTTTGACCATAGCCAGCCACGACGGCCCTTCCCCTGTTTGGTGTCTGACGGGGGCGCTCGGCGTTGTACGGGCGGGACGGCACGGGGTGGGTCTGCGCGCGGGGGCGGGCTGCGTACACGGCGCCAAGCTTGGCCTGGCCGTACGGGACGGCTTCTGAGCAAGACGAACCGGCCCTGCGCAGATCAGGGTGGTCCTGGAAACCACCCTCAGCGTAGGGGCTGATCACTGAGACACCCGAGCTGTCGTGATCCTCCAAACGCCCCTCAGCGTAAGGACTGATCACTGAGCCATCCGAGTTGTCACCTGACAAAGGCCACCTAGAGCAGGCGTTGATCTGATTGCCATTGCGGGGTGGACCTGCGCCGTTACCTGGGGCATTGCTACGCCTGACCACACACCAGCCACAGAGCAAAATCACCGGCCACTCAACAACAGCCAGCAACCAGCCAGCAACAGCCAACACCTTGTACCATTCATATGTGCAGCTGCACATACTATCGTCGTGGCCATCATGACTTGCGCTAGTGGACAGTGGTGTAGAGGGGATGCTGGCTGAGTGTGGTGTCGTGTTTGTGAGTGGGAGGTCTGTCGCTTGTAGTGTTGTCGTGTCAGAGTGTGCGCGCGCGCTCGCCGCGAAGGCGGCAGTGTCGGAGCCAGTTTCCGAAGAAGCCGTACAAGTGGTGTTCCCAAAGGGCAAGGGCTCGGCGGTCTCAAGCCAAAGGGTGAAGCTGGACCTCCCCATGTAGTTAGAACACAGGCTGTGATTTCCTGACTCTAGTCCCTTACATTTCACCCAGCCCTCAGCCTTTAGGTCGGTCACCACTCTCACGGTCAGGTTACCTGTCGGGAGACTGTCGTGTGTGGTCGTGTCTTTGTCGTATGTCATGTTGAACGAGTGTCGTGAGTCGTTTGGAGGGAAGGCCCAGGTCACTTGGGGCAACTGCTCCCAGTACACCCTGCCCACGGCCCTGTACTTGTGATCGGCGATGCGTTCGGCTGTACCGATCTCCACTAGCGGTGGCGGGCAGGGCAGTGTGTCGCTGGGATAGACTGGCGCGGAGAGGTTTCGCATCAGTGCCGAGGCGGGACAGCTTGCTGCTCGGGACAAGCTTATGGCGTCTTTGTAACGCCCCTTGAACTTCGGTTCGGTCCCACCCCCTTTCTCGTACAGCCAATCATTGGCACACGTACAGCGCGGACGATTGCTCATGAAGATTCTTTTTTGGGACAACCCCCTCCCTTCCGGCTCAATGGCGGCAACATCATTTCCATACACGACGAGATTGTTTAGAAATGATTGTTCGAACCAGCCACCACACAGGAAGGCCAGCCTGTTTTCTGCAAGGTTTAGGGAATGCAGTTTCGTGTTTGTGTGGAACGCGCCGTCAGCAATGTGGGAGATTTTGTTACCCTCCAGGTTCAGGGATTGCAGTCGCTCAAGGCCGTGGAACATCCCCGCGTCGATCGAACGCAGTTTGTTCTGCGCAAAGCGGACATATTTCACGGACTTGATCGCCTGCAGGGTGCCGGGTGCTACGTTAGTGATGTGATTGGCACTTACGTCAAACCAGGGTGGCTGCACTCCCAGGAACGTGCCAGGCGAGAGCGTCAGGATTTGGTTGTCCACCAGGACGAGTTTGGACAACCTGGGCAGCCCATGGAAGCAGCCATCCTGTAGCAGAAACATACACGATACAAAAACAATGGCTGATCACGGAGTTCAATTTGAAGCATCGCATACTGTTGAAGATAAACTTCATTTTTACGACCATTTTACAACACAACAAGAACCATATGATGTGAAAGAACATCTACTTTGAGATGAATCCTATATAGAAAAAAAACGGAATGTCAATGTGTGCTATTTGTTACCTCCAGATGTGTCAGGTTGTTCTCCAAGATCAGCAGATACTTCAGGCCCTCCATCCCAGCAAACGTGCCGTTCTTCAGAGTCTGGACATTGCTCCGCCAGATGACCAAGGTAGATACCTGTGGCAACTTAGCAAACGCCCCTAACTCTATTGTCGTTAGGTTACAACCCACAAACCACAGCCTGCAATCTCTACCACATGGGATCTGAGAGAGGATCTCTGCCTTGTCAGTGCTAAGCGTACCGATGTTGTTGTCAACGATCATGATGTTGGTTCTCGGTTGTGGCGAGGGGTTCTGAGTGGGACCCCCCTGGGTAGGCCTTGTTTCGTTTGAGCAGACCTGACAGGACTGGAACATCTGACTCAAAGCAAATGTGGATCCAAAGGGCCCATCGTAGCTTGTTGCTTCGTGCGGGTACTTGGTCCACTTGTACCGGTACGCTCCAATGTCATACCGGTACTCATGGCCATCGCTACGGCTGTCACCTACACCACACTTCCCCACGGACACTTCATGGCAGCTCTGCCAGCTACCCGCGTTCAAACATGGCACTAGCAGCTGCATAAGCAGCAACAAAGAGACTTTTGCCATCAGCTTTATCGCCATGATAGAAGGTTAACACACCATACTATTGATAGCAATGAGCTACAACAGAAGGCTACATTACCACATTACAAGATGGTTTTGTAAACAGTGTTACCTTTTTTACAGCACAGAAAGCAGCCGTGTTCCCTCCAGGGTGCGCAACAGCGCTCTGATCCCAGCCGATCACGCAACCTGTCACGCGTTTTGATTGGTAAGTCTCTGTTATGCTCAGCAAGAACCAACCAATCAGAATGCCCATAACAACGGCGTCGTGAAAGAACAGAAGCATTTTTAGGAGGCTAAAGATTTTACAAGCCGCACTCTTTGCCATATTGGAGCTTATTAGTCTGTGTATGACGGAAACACAACATAATCACTAGCTAGGCAAGTCCTTGATCTAAATATGAATTTTCATAGCAGCTACCTTATCAAAGACGCTTGTTGCAGGGTGAATATACGCAACAGGTTGACAAATAAGAAAACGACAAGTTGACAAAAACTTGGTACAATTTATTTAGTCTGACGTTTCTGAACCGAGCAGTTAAAGATATCCAATGCGGTTTAATTTTAGGGGTTGGAAACCCGATTTTTCAAAGCTAAGATTATCAACATAGTGAGTTGAAACCACACTGTGCCAATGTATATTGACCCTCATGGAGCAAAAATTTAAAAAATTGTGACGAAAAATGGTTACTGAAAGGGCCCTGAGCTGATTTTTAGGGTACCACCCCGAGAATAAAGGACTCATCTTGGGGCTTGTTTCCCCAGTTTTAAAGTGTGAAATGCTAATTCAAATGGATAACGTGAATCAGTATGTGTCAATATTATACCGATTTCCTTATTCATAATATTTCCAGTTTTGCTGCCCTGAAATCGCATTGAATGCCTTTAAAGGCTTTTAAAACTGTAGAAACAAGCCCCAAGATGAGTCCTTAATTTTCTGGTTGGTACCCTAAAAATCAGCCTAGGGCCCTTCCAGTAACCATTTTCCGTCGGAATCTTTGGCATTTTTGCTCCACGAGGGTCAATATAAATTGGGATAGTGTGGTTTCAACTCAGTATGTAGATAAATGACTAGAATATCAGCTCTGAAAAATCTGGTTTCCAAGCCTTAAAACTGCACTGGATGCCTTTTTAATATTATCCCTCTGTGTCGGTGACTTGGTACACGATGACTTTGTTATCGTTGTAAGCCGGGACGAAGACTTCCTGCATGCCGTCCCCGTTAACGTCAGCCATGACGATCTGCCCCACCGTGCCGCCGCCATGATACACTGTGTCCTGCTTGTACCTGAGAGAAATTCGAAATGGCGGAATCAAAATGGCGGATAGATTCGAAGAAGGTCAGACATCCAGGTAATGTGATGCACAAGAAAACTGTTACTCAAGCAACTGGATAGATTTTGAAAAGAGTCATACGTTTCAATTGGCATCCACTACTTTTTGTCAGTGACTGCTTTCAAAATCCATCCAGCCATATGAGCAACACTTTTCTTGTGAAAAGTGGCAGGTGGTTCTATTGTTCTACGTTTAGATGTCTGCACTCACGTGACCATGACGTAAAGATGGACGGTTAAATTGTCCGGTGTGTTTGAATTTGAATTTTGTACCAACAGTGAGAATGTGTTTATCTTGATCATGACTACCACTGTTTAGATATTGCGTGAACAAATCAGGACATTCATGTAGGAGTTTTGTGCTATCTACTCTGTTTTGTTTGACTATTTTCTCGGAGATGACAAGAATACTCCTTACCGCCAGTCTTTGGGGTCCTGACTTAGTGGGGTCATGACGTAAGCATGTCTGTCGTCGTCGCCAGCGACCAGGATGTAGGGCTTACCGGTCCTGTTAACATAAACATAAACATAAACATATACATAAACATATACATCAGCATTAAATATGACTATTTTGCAAGAAGGGTAAAGGAAGTCATCTACATCAACAATATGCAGTGACCAGCCTCTCCAACTAGATCAGCAACTTGCTACATAATGTAACCCAACACCACAGGGTGTCTGCTACAGCATCAGTTACCATGGTGACAGACGTCTGGTCCAGGTCATTGACCTTATGTATTTGGAAAAGAAGAAGAGCTAAAAACAATATGCTTTCCTTCTGTGAAGGTATATATGATTGCCTGGTGTCCAGCCTTGTTAGCTTTAGTGCGCTCTAATATATGATAAAGGTTAAGGTGTCCTCCCTGTCTAATTTGGCATTTTAACTTTCCATCCAGTCGAACCGCAGGTCACCGTAGAACGCGTTATTCTCTAAGATACGGCGTTTGCCGGGTCACGATTTGACCCCGTTGCATGGGTGTAAACAACTGCCTATAGTGCAGCAAAAAGACCTCAGACCTACACAATGTTTACATTTTTTTCATATCTACAGGATTTGCCCAGTACAACCATGTACTTATGTCGTGCATTGCAAAATGACAGCGAGCGCTACGGCCTTCCAAAAATTAGCAATTTTTGGTCATTTTATTTGTGCTTGTCTTTTTTACTATTTAACTGGATCCCGTTAGCTAATACCACAGTGTGATAGCCCACTTCTTTACCTTTACATTGATACCAATGACCCCTGGTAAATTTTATGGCAAACGGGTTTGCCCCCCAAAAAACTGTGACGATGCGCATATCGCGGTGGTCAAATTTAGCCCAGTTGTAAGCTACTGACACACACCATCCTGAGTTTCCGCTACATTTTGATACATTTCGCGTAATGTCATAAAATTCGTTTCTTGGTATGAGAAACTGTTTGAATGTGGCTACCACATGCAATATAATACGTGATATGATAACATTCAATTATATACAAAAAGAGGAATTTAATACAAGGTTCTGACCATTCAAAAATCGTCAAATTTGAAGTCAATCGGTTTCGAACTCCTGCGTTCGATCCATGGAACCAAGGCAGCGCGTTCCATTTTTCGCGCCGCCAACAATGTTGCAACTTTCAACCGCTGTTTGCGAAAGTTCATAAAAAGAAGGAATCAAGTTTTTTCATCACAAACAGACTTTCTGAAACCCATTCCAAGTAAGACTTATATCATGAAGACGCTAGAGAAAGTGGGATTCTTGTGCAACTATACAAATGTCAGTACATATGCCCGATGTTTGTATATTTACAGTAACAGGTCATAGTGTCCAATTTCTCCTTCAAAAATTAGGTCATGAAAAATCAACCTGTTGTTGTATTTGTTCATGCCCAAATTCCTTCTCTTCTGTTTTCACCCGTAAAGTGGGTATCGTTTTGAAGCTTACTATTTGGCCGATATTCTTTCACTTTCATTTTTGTTCTGTATAACTTTTAACAGAACATTTTTGAAGGCAAAGAAACTGTAAAGAAATTACACTTTTTCTCAAGGTCGAGCCGCAATACACATTGTGCAACTTCAAAACTAAGTACACAGGTGTCAAGCCAACATAACTATATTTCAGCCACATCTTACATTACAGGTGTATTGGTTAGAACTAGTTGCAAAAGCTTGCGATTCGAACAAAAAATCGTTGAGAATTCGACTAAATGAGCCCAACTTACCATCGGTTATTATATTGTAACAACTACAGGATCCCAAAAGAAACAACACACGATAGATGAGGGAGGGTCCATACTTTATTAAACAATACACCAAATCGACGATGAAATAGGGCAAACGGGTTTGCCCCCAAAAAAACTAAAGGGTACCTATCTCGAGTGGAATGATCTCCATCATACACGGTCAACTTTGAAACCTCGTTTCTCCAACAAACACCACCGGTAATGTACATCTACGACCTTGAGCGTGACGCCGGCTCTTCTTACATCTCACATTAACGTATGACAAGGAAACACTTACGCAAAGCGGAGTTACAAGCGAAACAGTAAACAGTAGCAAACTCTCGCGGATTCTCGCGGATCACATTACCTTGGAAAAGAAGCGCGAGATTTAAACGAGATCTTAGAGAGAGCTGCGCAGAACCGATGCGCATAGCGGTCTGCGGTTCGACTGCATCGTTTTCTCACAAAGAAATTTAGAAAGAACTGTAGTTGTACTGAATATTGATACCTGGGTACAAAAGGGTTATGAATATGATTTTATGGACCATATGGATGACGTCACATTTTATTGCCCCAAATGTAATTATCTTTAAAGTTATAATATAGCACTTTGGTAGAAGTAACTGAAATAAAATATGATTTTTATGTGCATAATGGTCAAATCTACAAACGTACGTTTGCACAAATTGATACCTACTAATTATCCGTAGTTATTAGAGAATAACTAGATTTTAATTAGGCAATTAGGTTATTCTCTAATAACTACGGATAATTAGTAGATATCAAATCTTCTTACTTGTTAGTAGATGGATAAAAAGGGAAGGCAGAGCCGGGAGCGCCCTTCCCGTTCGTGAAGAACCCGGGCACGCTGTACCCGCTCTTAATGATCAGTCGTTCGAACGGCTGAGTCGTGACGTCATTGGGGATCTCGTACACAGCTACAGTACCGTTGGTTGCGCTAAAAACAAAGAAACAAACAAACTAGAAATTTAACATTTGCAAGGGGAAATGCACTAATGTTTACCTTCGCATATGGTCTGCTACATGTATGTTAACTTCTCACTCAAACACATTCAGACAGGGGTCTAAATCCCTCCTGCTATAAAATTGCAACATAGTGTAACCCAACACAAGTTACCATGGTAACAGACACAACAATGGTTCAGGTCATTCAGGACACTGTTTGGAGAAGAAGAAGAAGAGGAGGAAGAAG